TCAACTATTATAAAGTATTTCAATTATTATAATGTATAATTTTTATAGTTTTAAAATATTAATTTATTAATAATACTTTTTTAAGTCAACTTGAGTCAAGTCGAATTTGAGTCGAGTTTAAATTGAGTCGAGTTAAATACTTAACTCAACTCGAATTTGATTTGACTCACAAATCATCAAGTCAAAAAAATATAAACTTGACTCAATTTAAACTTGACTTGGCTTATCTAACTCGTGAGTTAACTCAACTCGTCCAGAACTCTAAATAAATCGTCTGGCTTTATAGGCATCAGAATACTGAAAGGCTGGTATTTCAACTCTATGGTATAATTCAAGTAAAGCATTGGTATAGTTGTCAACTGTTTCACCAGGTTGCTGTCTTCTCCTCTCTATTTTAGTTGTTCAAATTTCTACTAACATTTGAGATTTGAAGGCAGTTGGAAAGGTTATAGTAAAATCTGTTCCGTTATTATTACTAATTCATGCAGTAATATAATTAGCATGATCATTTACTAATGCTTGATTTGTAATCCACCAAGTTGAAGCTGAATTTTTCAAATATGCAGGCACAACTTTGAGCTTTCTATTATCATTGATTCTGTTTGCATTGCAAGCTCATGTAAAATCTTTCATCTAGCTAATTGGGTCTTGATTTCTACCATAAAAATAAGGAAGGTCAGCAATATGAGATTCTCTTTATGAAGGATTAGCATTCATAATTTAAGCATTGGCTTGTAACTGATTGATCAAATTAAAAATCCCATTATTGGCATTAATATTAGATAGAGCAATTGAATTTAAAATTTCAGCAACGTTTTGTAGAGCAGTAGTTAATACTTAAATGTCAGCTTAGTTTGCAGCCATTTTTTCAAATAAATTTTCTAAATTTAATGTTTTGTCTGTATATAATAAACTATTTGTATGTAGATTATTATTAGTATTGTCACTTAAGATTGTTGAATCAGATTCTTCAGTTGTTTCAGTTGTTTTAGAAAGTGGTATAGAAATTGTCTCAGAAATTTGATATAATTGATACAATGGATCTAATACAAATCTTCGAGTTAATACAAATGCGTTATAAATATTTTATCTAACTGTAATAATGATTCTTTAAACCTAGCATTATATCGTATATTAAAAATAAGACTGAATATAACTTGATCTACTGTATCAGATGATCCAATATAGAGGTAAGTATAATTTAATTCTTCAATATATTGTTAAATATATCTGGCAAATGTTATTGCAGTATATTCAGTAGTATACCAATTCCAAAAATGTTGAAAACACTCAGAAGTAACAGGTTCAGGGGGTAACAAAAATAGCAAGATCTGTTGTGATGTTACGTAACTATATTAGTTTGATTTAAAGTGATATGCAATCTATAATGCCTTTGATTTAACAAATAATGTTCATCAAACATGAATGATTTAATCAAATTTCAAAAACTTTTCTGACAGAAAGCATCAAGTATTACGGTCAGTTCTTTAAGATGCTTATGAGTGATAAGTGAAGCAATATTTATGGGTGGTAAGCAGAAAGTTTAATTTGATATTTAGATTTAGAAGAGTGTTAGTAAATTAATAGTTTATTTAATAACTATAATAATGGAGTACTACCTCAGTTGGCATTCTGTACTATATAATTATATTAGAAGGATTAAACTAAACTATTATATCATAGGAAGAAGTTCACGTGATTGAACGATCGATTTCAATTGAATTTATACAGTTTAAAGTACTTTTTGAAAAATAAGGTTTCACATAATTAAAATTTTTTTTTTTACAAATAGCTTCATTAGAGCGTTAAAACATTATTTTCAAAATTAATTTCTAATAATCTCTAATTTAAGGAGTGTTTACTTAGTAATAAAGTTATGGTTAGAACAAAAAAACTCGAAGGACCGTGCATTATGAAAATTTGCAAAAAAACGTCAGTAACATGGTGAACCGTTACTAAAATGGTGATATTTTGTGGAAAGGCCAGTGAAACGCTTTCTGAATATGTTAAAAAAAATGATGTTATATGCTTGAATTGTTATAATGCAATTGTTATTAACAAATCTTTTAAATTTAAACAACATGCATTAGAACGACATCATAATGAGCTAGAAACTTCTAATAATAATATTTTGTCTTTTTCGCAGGCTGTAGAGATAATTACAAAGATTTTCTATGAAAGGAAATGTAAATTATTACCACCAATTTGGGAATTCGAAGAATTTCGTGCGCTTATGGAATTAGGAGACAGGTGATTGAAACATTTTTTTGATGAACTATACATATCAACTAATCTGTCGACAAAGAACAAGGATACGATATAAAAAGTATCAAAGCAATTAGTATTTTTATGTTATTATCTTTGTGGCATCAGAAATAAATTCGTTAATAATGCAAAGAGAGATCTTGGGATGTATTTAGATTCAACTGGAACACTTAATTCAACAATCGATACTCTGGCGACGCTAGGTTTATTGACAACATCTCGCACTATTTCTTATTATAAGGATACTGTATCTAAAAAACATTCAATGACTGTGGAATCGAGGCTTTCAGAAAATGCGAATAATGTTATGATTTTAAATATTGACGATTATCATAGTATTCATACTAAAAGAATGAATACAATAACAACATCAACTGTAGCACATCTCGCTACTGTTTTACTTAATCTGATAGAAAATAAACTGGCAATACCAAAGCGAGATATTCATAATCCTGCATTGGTTGATGCTTCATTAATCAAAACCGGTGTTGATAACTATTTGATATCACCATATTCATTCTCTCATAACCAGCGTTGGGGATTCCGTTCTGTGGATGACAAAACAAAACTCGAATAACTAACGGTCCATAGTTATGATACTCGTTTAAAAGAAAAGAGAAATGCCTAATCAATAAAAGATGTGATGCTTGCGGACCTTTTGAAAAATGATCTTCATTCAGTACAATCTTACATTAATGCTACTAATGCAGTCACTTCTATCCCTACAATTGATAGGTATATTAAAGCAGGCAATGTTATCCTGATCGTAGCTGATTGGCCTGGTCAAATTTATATGAGAACAGTTATATCCCGATATCTTGTTCATGGCAGTTCTTCTGAAATTACAGATAAGATGTTATCTTACCTTCCGATGATGGGTCCTTTGCATATTTCCTTAAATAGCCGTGAGTTAATCTTTCTCAAATACCAACCATTCTTTTCTGCAATGTACAAATATATATTTGGCGAATGAAAACCACTTGCTCAGAAACTTAAGCCATGGCATATAAACTTATTATTAGAACTTTCACGTAGTGCATGGCAGGAAATCGCGTTAATAGTTGAAGTAAAATTTGGTCGCATATGTAAAGATGCAGAATATATTACACTCAAGCAGTGTGTAAAATTCATGTGCACAATGTGCACATGTGCACATTAAATTTTTATGTGCACATATTACACAGCATAAAATGTGCACAAATAATTACTAAAAATAGATAAATTATATATAAAAATGGATAAATTATTTATAAAAATAGAAATACTATGTAATACATGCATTAATTTTCTATTTCTAGTACAACTTGTGCACATGACTTTTGGTCTAAATTTTATACACTGCACTCAAGGATCTATTAGACAATATAATTCCGCTAGTTCTTGATATTTATGCTTTATTTTTTCATACTGGCAATTTTAACTCTTACATTGAATCATATTTTTAGGTTGGACTATTTTTCTTAAATTTAATCGTAAAAACTATACTAAAGCACCTTTAATATTTTTATCAGATATTTTTTACTGGAAATTGAAAGATCACTTAATTTTGAAAACAATGAAAGTAGGATTACCAAAATTCTCTGATTCTCCCGTTGAAATCTTTCACAGTCTTTTGCAACGTAATACAGAAAAATATCTTACGGCAAGTCAAATAATAAAGGAAGCATAGTACATTAATTATTTGCGATTGAATGATGATGGATTCAAAGAAAATTTCGTTCACACCTCAACTTGGGCAGTATACCAGTATTCTTCACAGGATATTTCAACATTAACATGAAAAACTGCATGCTTTCTTTTAGATTGTTTTTTAGATATTTATACTCGTATTAATCATAAAAAGATGCAATTTTTAATTCCGTTACAGGTTATTATGAAAGGCTCATCAAAAAAGAGAAAAACTGATGCCAAAATCAGTTTTTCTATTCCAACAATGAAGATGGAAAATGCACAGCTTTATCATTTATCTTTAGGATATAATTCTTCTAATAAGCCTAACTTGTTTGGTTGTAATTCTTCTAATTGTCTTATTACTAATACTACATTTAATGAAGAAACAGGTCGGGTGCTATCATATGGTCACGCATATCATAATATATGCTTTAGCCTGAACGGATTCAAGTGCTTGCATTGCTTAGATTATATAAAGTCCAGTATTGATGAACATGTACAATCACTTTTGGATCGTTTACGACGACCTAATTCAATTAATGAAATTGAGAATGAAGAACCTGACTTTATTCCTAAAGAAGATCACGATGATAAAGAATCTGTTGATGGTATCTCAACTTCCTGGGACATTGCAATACTACGGTTTATTCAACAATGATTAAAATTATTATGTAAATATATAGTAATCATAAGTTATTTAAATATATATATTAAATATGATATATATGAATCTAAAATACAATTTTAATAAATTTTTGAAATAATATAAATGGTATATAATAAATAAAAATTATGCTTTTATTTTATTTAAATTTACATTTAATTTAATTAGTCAAATTGATATTTAAATTAATTGGTCAGTTATTGTTTGTTTTGAGTCGTCAAATTAGCCAATTACATGAATTTCTTTCTATGTACTATTATATAAAACTATGAGTCAGACACATTACTAAGTTAAAAGAAATTTATATAAAATGAAAAATATAAAGTTATCAAAGATATAAAAAAAATAAATAAAATATATAAAATAAATAAAATATAATAAATATATGGGATAAATAAAATAAAATAAATAAAAGAAATATATCATATAAAAGAAATATATGCTATAAATAACATAGATGACATAGAAGACATATATGATTTCTTAGGGATCGATGTCATTCTTTAGATCATCATTATCCATGTTTTCTTTCATGTAATAATAGGTAATAGTAATAAAATATTCTAATTAACTATATATAATGATTTTATTAAATTATAAAATTATAAAAAAATTAGTTAAATTGATTTTATAAATTTAAATATTAATTAATTATATATATTATTAATAAGTTTTAATTCTAAAACAAAATTTAATATTTTAGTGATAAGTTAATATATTTATATTAATATATTATTTAAGTATAATAGATTTAATTTAATTTCAAAATAATCATTATATATTAAAATTCATATAAAAAAATTATTATCTAATTTTAAATAGATCATAATTATAAAAATATATTCATAAGGGTTATAATAAATTTTTAAAGTTTATTTTTATTAAAATAATTTAAAACTTAATTAATAAAGATTTATATAAATTTTTATAAAAGTTATTTTATTATTAAATATAAGTAAAATTCTATTGTTATAGTTAGTTCTTTAAGATGCTTATAAGTAATAAGCAAAGCAATATTTTTAGGTGATAAGCAGGAGGTTTATTTTATAATTAATTTTAGAAGAGTGTCAATCAATTAAAAGTTTATTTAATAATGATAACAATGAAGTACTACCTCAGTTAACGTTTTATATTATATAAGTATATTAAAAGAATTAAACTAAACTATCTTGTAATTATCTATCTAATATACTACTAAGTTAAAAGAAAATGTTCTCTATTTATATAAATAAAATATATAAAGTTATCTAAGATATAAAAAAAATAAATATAATATATAAAATATATAGTATAAATGAAATAGAATAAATAAATAAGATATATTGTATAAAAGAAATATATATTATAAATAACATAGAAGATATATAAGATATATATGACTTCTTAATGATTGTTATCATTCTTTTAATCATCATCTATGTTTTCTTTCATGTAATATTATCTATTTTAAGAATACATTTCTTTTTAATAAAAAAAAAAAGAAAATTATAATTTAAAATATAAGATAATATTATCTATAATTTTAAATAATATAGAATATTTATTATATTTGAGTAAATAAATATTTTAAGTTTAAGCTATTTTTTAAATTTAATTAGTAGTTTTATACTAAAAATATTATAATAAATAAATAGTGAATACAAAAAATTCTAAAACTAATAAATATTTATATCTAAATATAAGTTTTATATATTTACTGTATAACACAATATAAAAGAAAAAAAATTAAGAAAGTTTAAAAACAATTGATTAGTCAAATACGGTCAATCGTACGACCACTTGAACGACCTAACAATTAGTTCAACTTTTTTAATAAATACCGTCGGAGAATCAAAATCTAATTAGTAACGATAAAACCTCTTTTTCATGTACTGATAAATTACCTTTTTACTATGCTTATTAATTTTGGTCGAAGTATCTATATTATTTGCTGTATTACGTACAAAAAGTTTATGCAAGAGTCTATGTCCCGATGTATTCAGAAAGGTATATAAAGTATATATATACCTTCAAGCTTTCTCAAATTTTCTTGAAACTTTTTCTAAAAAAATTAATCACTTTTATAGAAATATAATGTCATCTTCATTAAACTGTCTGGTACTAGGAAAAGCTTCTGCTAATATTTTTCGTATGCGCTTTAGTGATCTTGTTCCTATCGGTGGTTTGTATGTAAGACTTAAAGATTTAACCGTTGCAGACTTCAAGGATGCTCTATCTGAAAAAGAGCAAACCAAAGGAATAACTGAAATGAATATCTGGAAAGTAGAACTCGGCTTTCATGAAATTAATAACTTTTCTAACGAAGATACTATTAAAAATCATGACAAGAGCGAGAAGCTTGATGATAATCCTATGCTGAATTTTAATACATATTATAGTAATGCTGACGACGCTGACGACGACAAAAAACCTAAGGACGGGTATCTTCATATTTTCATAGTCCCCAACTCCACTGGTAAGTGTCTCCCAACGTTTTTTCCTCTCTTTTTCTATTTTACACTGTATGGTTCTGTCGATTAACTTGTCTTGCTAATACCTTCGAATATTCTAAACCTTATAACAATTATAACAATTAGATCAGAATAAGAGAAAGTTCACGGAAGAAAGTAAGAATGTGTAGTAAAAACCATTATTACTTGCATTTTCCGTCATTTCTTACAAATTCTGCTCTACACTTATAGTCCAAGATGTCAGTGCTCAAGTTCTTGGTGCTTTTAATAAAAGACCTAAGGTGACGCTTCCTGAAATTAACGAACTTCCTGATTTCCTTGAACAGCCTCTCTCAGACAATATGAAGATACCTATCCTCCGACATGAATATAATAGTTATTTGATTCAAAGTATGGAAGATTCGTGCACACCAGAAGATCTCAATATCTTATTCCGGATTAGCGATACTGAGAGTGCTTACGAATTCATTACTAAGACGCTTGGCTCTCCAATTCGGAATAATCCACCTTCACGCGAGGGGACTAAGTATTCTTTCGTCCATTTTTGGGACAACAATATCAGATCCCTTCTGGAAATCCTTATTTCCAATGGTACTACTATCCGTAATTCTTCTCAGCATACGAGCACCCCTGGCAAACGGCCAGATTTTGGTTTTATCCTCGGTCATGTTTGTCCGTTTAGAGGGGAGGAGAATTCACTCATCAATAATGAAGATCCGAGAAACGAACTTATTGACAAACTTACTTGGATCTACGATCCAGCTCCGTATATTTTAGGTAAGATGTGTGCTCATTTTAAAATGATTACACTCTAAACGTTGTTTTTCTGTCACAGGCTACTACGCCAATGGGCCAGACGTAACATTCGTTGCCATTTCCCCGCCTTTGTCTACTGGTAACAAACCAAGGATTTCTACCATTGTGAATTCAAACTTAAGTCTGAGGAAGGATCGTATCATTAATCTGCGACGAATGATTAATCTAAGTATTCTAATCAAGTCACTTCAAGACGTGATCGGATGGCGTGAATCACCTGAGTTCATTCAAATTGTTAGGTGAGTTGAGGGAACTTGTCACTGAAGTATTTTATATTCTGATGTCCCTTTTTCCAATAATATTGCAGAGATAAACAGACAATCGAGGTGTACGGCACGAACATTAAAAAGACCTACAAAATTCCTGAGGAATTGGATTGGCGTGTTGAAAAACTCAAGAATGTTTACAACATACTGACAGAGAAAAGTGTCCCAAATGTTGATCGACTTATTTGTGCTAATAATGAAAATGGAGTGGTGTATCTGGGGCCAAAAGGAATGAGTGTAAAGCCAAATAGTCCGAAGGAATTCTTTGAAGCTATTCTCTGTGTGCTCGAGGCTTTGGTGGTAAGTATCTTGGTAATTGTCAGATGAGTGTTTGCCGAACACTTCTCATCCGTGATGTTCAACTTAGATTATGCATGGTGGCGACAATCCAATTTTCCATCAAGACATCCGGTGGCCCAACATTATAAAATTGTCTGGTGAACCACCGAAATGGATCCTTATAGATTGGGACGATGCTGATCGTCCACAAACTAGACCAGCAAACCATCTCGAAAAAACCAATCATGCGCCAGAAGTTTTTTTACAAGGTCACGGTGGAGAAGTAGACATATGGAGCATAGGAAAACTAATAACCGATGCAGACCATTTTATCATGGGTCTTCCACAAAGTATTATTGATATTGGGGTACAAATGCAAAGTGATGATAGACCAAATGCTCTTAATGCCTTGGAAACTTGGAGGTCTTTGTCAAATAGCAATATTTTTTAAAGCATAAAATAGATGTTTATATTTCGGGCTGTAGGTTTGTATCATAGGCTTTATCACAAATTATTGTATGCTAGTTAATCCGATAAAAAAGATAAAAAAATAACTTCTGTACGATGTGTAGTGTAAGATGTGCACCTCAAACTCCCTTTATTTCTATATCATATAGTGTAAATTTCACAAATTCGAACGATATCACATGTGAGACCTCGCATAGTTCCGGCTTTGAAATAAATGATTTAGTTTATACTCGGAAAATTTTTATGTGACGCAATCTTTGTAAAATAATTTAAATTTTCCGAATATAGTACTACACTTCGAATTTTTCATTTCGCACCTGATGATCGAATACTTAATAAAACTGAGAATATTTTTTATTTTTCCGAAACTGAGTCACACCACCCGCATACAGAATACGTTTCTCAATCATAGATTTCGGGATATGAGTTAACAACTTTTTTCTTGTAATACATATTCTATAAGAATTTATATGAGAAAAAAACGAAACTTTATTATATTTTTTCAGATATACACAACGCCTTTACGGCTAAGAAATATAGAGAAGTTGGCAGAGATTGCGAAACAATATGATGCTATCAAAAAGGGAGGGAGTACTCGGATCCTAGGCCATAAATGAGAGTCCCAACATCAATCTCTCAGATTTTCGAAAAATATCTATTTTCTATGTCTATTGCTAAATTCTTACGCTTGCTTCTGTAAACATCAGATTTCCGAATCCATCCATATATACGCCTATCTATATCACTACCACTATGTAAAAGATTATTTCCTGCAAGAGAGATTAACAAATTTCGAACCTACAGAATAAATTCCGAGGTTAAAAAATAATCAATGCAATATTTCCGATTCATACTTACAGTACCTCTACGATTCATTTCACCCCGCCTCATTTGTTATTTAATGCGTGGTATGTCAATTTTTTTATTGCTAGTACGATACTGCGCCAAACATTAAAATTCGGCACGTGAAGATGCTTACGCTGATAAAATCCATTATTTTTGTGATACCACATCTATTGTATTGCGTGATGACGATGATGATCTCGAAATACCGATATATAACGACATCTATAGAGGCGGAAAATCGATTAACATCGTGATGACATGTTTCAAGAGTAATAAACCTACTTACCATGTTATCACTTTGCGGAATATACTTTGTTCGTTTGAATGATGATATTGATGATGTAAATAATAGTAAGTTCGATTATTTCGCTTGATTTTCGTTTTACTTTCACAAGGCGGATAAAAGGATTAACTAACTGGGACATTGCCTTTTATGTAATTCGCAGGATCGATTTTGGAATACGCTTTTGGAGGCAATTACGTTAATATGATCGTATCACGAAAATCTGATCAACAGATCCGCTTAAAATTATAATAAAAAAACTTTGACGCTACCCATATACAAAGATCAACAGGAAGGCCTTTTTTGTTATATGTAAAGCTTTGAGTATATGCGGGAAAGTTCGAGAATAAATTACATGCAATTACTTGTTCCCGGATACATGATGTCTAACGTTACTGCGCATTTATTTATTGCATATTCGATTACAACTTTCATATAAGACATGATTTATTTTATCCAAGTGGGACTTTAGGTTTCACTTTTTTGATATAATGTATAGCCTTTTCGGCCGAATTCTTTATTGATGTAGTAAATAAATTACATGATTCAGTTCTTGATAACACTCCAAATAAAGATAAATATAAAGGTTTGAGACATTACCCGGGATACATGACGTCTATGCTAATGATTGCGGATACTCATTCCTTAATATATTTTTTCGTCCTTGCTCTCTTACTGTCTGGAGCATCATCAACCTCTACCCTATCTTTCAACAAACCTACGATTACTCCCATGACCTCCTTTACTTCTTGACGAAGTTTTGCTTCATCATCTAAAATGTTCTCGGTAAGATCAATGTGATAGTCAGCTTTCGTACAATAAATTCTTTCTGGCGTGTACATAATAAAGTACCAATCCGTGGCTAGAATAAACGAAAGTTAATAACATCATCCAATATTACCTCATCATATGTTACACAACCATGGCCAAAAAAATCTTACCTGTAACGATCCTGTAAAGGTAGTCAAAATCATCTTCGAAAGCTTTAGATACCTTTCGTTTTCTCTTATTTGTCTGGTAGGAGCTTTCGAGTTGCATCACATTCTGCATGATGCCTAAGACCTCTTGATTTTGCTTTCCTTTAGCCATGCAAATAAGTTCCTTGTTTAATGAATCTATTATTTTTTTGATTGCATAATTGATTCTCGTCCTGTTGCTTCTTCGCCAACAACTTCGAACTGTGATTCCAGGAAGATTCTCTTCTTTGACTATATACATTACTGAAAGTAGTATTGCCTCAATATATGAATAGCATACAGCCTCATTGCTGTTTTTTGCTGAATCTATAATGCCCATTTTTCATTTAATCTCGGTTACAATATTGGAAGTGTTTATCAGCGTCATCAATTTTCACAGACTCTAGTATAAAGGGTGGAATCTTTTTTATATCATTGCTATCGATTCTGTACTTGCACAACACATTACTCAAGTCTTTTTTAGTCTTATACGAGGAGAATGAGTATAACATTTTTATGTTACACTCCTTGGTGAAGTCTGCAAGATCTGAAGCAGGTCTCAACCCTAAACCAATACTTCAAAACTCTTCTTTAGTTGTCTTGAGAAATACACGACCTGTAAGCTCTTGCTCTTCTAAATTTTGAAAGCTGTCTCACTAAGCTTTAAGTCCTGCTTTTGTAAAAATTCTATGAGTTCATCCACATTATATTTTTTAATTTTGTCTGACAGTGTGAGCAACTCATTTCCAGTTGCTATAACAGAAATGAAAGTAGAAGTAGGTGTATTAGTCTCAGATATAGTACTTTTATAGGTAGGTTGATTTGGATAAAAAAATGTGTTATATCTGGTGATACTGATGTAAAATAAAAAATTACTTCTAGAAAAGCAAGTGTTAATATACAATTTTACATTACACATGCATTGCATCATTACATATATCTCACTTCTCATATACTGGTAAAATAATACTTTATTTATAAAATAAATCATTGCCGAAGTTGGCCTACAGTATATAAAAATTGCAACTATATTGCTACATGATACAATAAGTTATTTGGGAGAAAGGAGGGGAAAAATAAAAATATTATTCATATCTTTGTCAGGTTTCTCGCACTAGTAGGATGAATTTGTTGAAGATAGAAGTTATGAGGATGAACAGGAAGATGAGGTAATATGATCCTAACTTTATCCATAATAACAGAGATATAGTCGTTCTTAAAAACCTTGATCACAAAAATTACATTTTTATTTAGACTATTACGAAAGTGAAGGTTTATGTTGATAAAATCATTATTGTTATTTTCAGTAATTGCCATTTTACTTTTCTAAATACAAGACACATAATGAGAAAATTGCTTGGCCTACTCACATTAAAGAACATATATTATACATACCTTATTTTATGTTATTTTTTTATAGGAATGTTTTTTGCGAAAATTTAGCTGAACTTCTATATACTCTTACATTGCTTTATATTTTATTGAGAAAAAGTTAAGGAGGTATGAGTCATAATTAGTATTGTATCTGGTGCCAAGAATTTTATAAAAGTGCATGCAAATAGAATCCTCATACCTTTTTACATGTAGATCTATCCTGCAAGACATATAGTTAGTCTTACGCCTAGTAATCTCAAAATTGCAAGTCTCTCAGCCTTTTATAATATATACTTTTACTGGCACTATTTACTTATAGGATAGGTTCTGTGTTGCAACTAGACCTCCTTTCACATTTTTCTCTCATGTTTGTTTAGGAAAAAATAGAGGTACTGATTAGTATATAACTTTTTGAAATTAATATGCTTTAGCATTTTAACAGCTATCACACAAATTTGTCTAGTAATCCACTTATTTTTATCGCACAAGAGTACATACGCACCTAGTAAAATTTTCTGAGCTGATAATCAATTATATAAAGCACCTCAGTTATTGCAGAGAAGTATAGATAACGTAGTTCCTGTGTAACTGCAGTGATTCTTATGAGAAATTATTTTTTCATTTTGAATATATATATTATTATAACTGACAAAAATAACATCTGAAATAAAAAAAAACGAGATTGATACTAGCAATGAAGAAGTTACATATCTTGAGTTTGTAGGAGATAGAGCATCAGATTACGACCACAAACTATCAGTCTCTAGTGAGAATATTATCTTTTTGGAAAATTTTTTAGAGTCAATATGTAATAAACAGAAAACATCTTATACCTCAAGCCTAAGAAGTCTCAAAATTACGCATTATTCTAGATTCTCAGATAATAAAATTCTCTGTGTTCTACATTCATATCCAAATATAATCAGTTTAAATTTTGAACAAAGTATAAGTTTTACTGATGCATCACTTATAGAAATTGCTCAATCTTATCCCAACTTAAAATCTCTCAATGGCTGTGATAACCAAGATATAACTGATCACTCCAAATATAAAATTGCAAAATCATACCAAAAGATACATCACCTTGATATTGGTTTCTGTAGGAATATCACTGATAATTTCGTATATAAAATAGAGAAACATGTTCTAAATTAGAATTTTTATATATTAGTAGATTAAAACAATGTAAACCAATTTCTGATCAGACAATAGATGCAATAGCTCACTCATGTCCTAATCTTCACTATCTCTCTTTAAAATGTTGTCATAATATTACAGACGTTTCAGTTAATAGATTGTTGCAATATATTCATAATTTAGAATATCTTAAATTTGATTAGTGTAGATTTATTACTGATTCATTTATTTGTAATATTGCTAACTCTTACCAGAAGCTCGAATATCTTGATATCAGTGCTTTTGATGCTTTTGACACAACTATCTGTAATATTGTACATTTGTGTAAAAATTTAAGATATTTTGATATCAGGTATTGCCGTCTAGTTACTGATATAATTATTGATG